CAGTAGAGTTCTGCTCACGGTCTCTGTAGTCCAGGATGAGAAGTGGACCGGTTTCTGTTCGGAGTCAGAGTCAGGGATCAGGAGGGAGAGCAAAAACAGGCAGAACACGAAAACCAGCAGGTGTGTGTGTGTGTGTGTGTGTGTGTGTGTGTGTGTGTGTGTGTGTGTGTGTGTGTGTGTAAACATGAAGGTTAGCTAACAACCATTTACACCGAGACGCTAACCTGAGTGAAGAGAGAGAAACTGAGACGAGGGCTGGGCGAGAAAACAAAAACATATTTATCAAAATTAACTTCAATATCAAACATGATCAATATCCTTTTCAATAATCGTCATTCTGACATGTTTTGGTCGACTATACGAACAGCCAATGAAAAGTGGAGTTTCTCCGGGTCTGAACCAATCATGTTCTGAATTAGAACCAAGTATCAACCAACTGCAGCGTCGTAGCAGACAGCAGCTCCACCCAACCATAGCACTTTAACAGGTGAAGCCGACAGCACTGTTGGTGAGAAACAAAGAAAATGAGTGCTACCCCCGACAGAAATGACCATGAAGGCTCAACAGATGACCACATCAATGTCAACCACAACACTGGCGTTAGGAAAACGTCGGTGGTGTGGAGGTATTTTGGTTTTTGGAGGTCGGACATGAAGCAGAGTAATGTGGACTGTAAATTATGTCGAGTACATGTTCTCACAAAGTCGGGGAATACCTCAAATCTTTTTCACCACCTGAAGCAGCGCCACGCCGCAGAGCACGCGCAACGCCAAAGGTTACAAACCCCGAGAGGAGCGAGGAGCCCATGGCGCCTGAAACAGACGACCATTCAGTCGGCTTTCTCTAGAGCGACGCCTTACGACAAAACGCCAAAGAGACACAAAGACCTCACAGATGCAGGAGATTATTGTGTTGGAAAAGACATGAGACCAAGAAACACTGTTAGATTTTTAGATCCTGATATTGATCGATATCAGCTGATAGGAAATCAATATATCCTGATGAACTCTCTCTATGTCGCTCAGCCCTAACTGAGACTCTCCACAGACAGACTGATGAACAGTTGGATGTTTTTTTTACAGGACGTGACGTTTGATTGGCTGAACTCTCTGAAGTCGTCTCTTCCTCTAACCTTCAGCTCAGTAAATATCTCAAAGTCGGCCTCACTTCTAACTCACAGTTGTTGTCTTTGTTTCCAGATGATTGTCAGACTAAAGCAGATGGTTTCTCCGCCTGCTGTCTGAGCTGCAGATCCTCTCAATCATCTCGTTTGTGTCTTTCTGTATTTGATCGATGAGTCCTCCTAAAGAGAGTTCATGAAACCCTTAATCCGATCATTTCCTGTCTCTGTCCGCTCTAATCTGGTTATTTAGGTTAAAGTGAATGTCTCTGTTTTCTCTAAAGCTTCAGACTCCAATAATTCATCTTCTTCTCTCTCATAAACTCAGAGTCTGTCTCTCATCCTGCAGACGCTCTGATCTGCTCAAACTTCACGCTGAGACGTTCATCAGGAGCAACAATAACACCGTTTTTATTGATTTACTGTCTCTGTGAGGTCCTGCTTATGCAGCGCACACACACACACACACACACACACACACACACACACACACACACACACACAGCTCACAGCTGATTGCAGAGCTCAGATAAAACTGAACCGTCTCTCAGGGTTCGACTTTAACTTTGTTCTCCTGAGTTAAAAAAGTAAGAAGCACAAAGAACTTTAGGGGATCAATGAAAACTGATCAATAATGTTTCTCTTATTGATCGACCTTAGTACTATTATTAGAAATCAATTTTAGGTCTTTTGGTCACATGACAGTGAAGCTATTGAAGGAAAACAGCCTTTTCTGAGAACATCAACCGGTAATTTATTGACGGTCCCTTATTCAACACCGACGTTGACAGTGAGGGTGTCGAGTAGATTTAACCGCGCTGCTGTTGTTATTCCTGGTTATGGAGAGTGAGAAGACACCGGTAGATCCTCAGAGAATGTCCGTCAGATATCCAACCTGAAACTAACTTCACCGCTGTATTTACAGGAAAATATATCCAACCTAAAACTAACTTCACCGCCGTATTTACAGGAAAATATATCCAACCTAAAACTAACTTCACCGCCGTATTTACAGGAAAATATATCCAACCTAAAACTAACTTCACCGCCGTATTTACAGGAAAATATATCCAACCTAAAACTAACTTCACCGCCGTATTTACAGGAAAATATATCCAACCTGAAACTAACTTCACCGCCGTATTTACAGGAAAATATATCCAACCTGAAACTAACTTCACCGCCGTATTTACAGGAAAATATATCCAACCTGAAACTAACTTCACCGCTGTATTTACAGGAAAATATATCCAACCTGAAACTAACTTCACCGCCATATTTACAGGAAAATATATCCAACCTGAAACTAACTTCACCACCGTATTTACAGGAAAATATATCCAACCTGAAACTAACTTCACCGCCGTATTTACAGGAAAATATATCCAACCTGAAACTAACTTCACCGCCGTATTTACAGGAAAATATATCCAACCTAAAACTAACTTCACCGCCGTATTTACAGGAGAATATATCCAACCTGAAACTAACTTCACCGCCGTATTTACAGGAAAATATATCCAACCTGAAACTAACTTCACCGCTGTATTTACAGGAAAATATATCCAACCTGAAACTAACTTCACCGCCGTATTTACAGGAAAATATATCCAACCTGAAACTAACTTCACCGCTGTATTTACAGGAAAATATATCAAACCTAAAACTAACTTCACCGCCGTATTTACAGGAAAATATATCCAACCTGAAACTAACTTCACCGCCGTATTTACAGGATAATATATCCAACCTGAAACTAACTTCACCGCCGTATTTACAGGATAATATATCCAACCTGAAACTAACTTCACCGCCGTATTTACAGGAAAATATATCCAACCTGAAACTAACTTCACCACCGTATTTACAGGAAAATATATCCAACCTGAAACTAACTTCACCACCGTATTTACAGGAAAATATATCCAACCTGAAACTAACTTCACCGCCGTATTTACATGAAAATATATCCAACCTGAAACTAACTTCACCGCTGTATTTACAGGAAAATATATCAAACCTAAAACTAACTTCACCGCCGTATTTACAGGAAAATATATCCAACCTGAAACTAACTTCACCGCCGTATTTACAGGATAATATATCCAACCTGAAACTAACTTCACCGCCGTATTTACAGGAAAATATATCCAACCTGAAACTAACTTCACCGCCGTATTCACAGGAAAATATATCCAACCTAAAACTAACTTCACCGCCGTATTTACAGGAAAATATATCCAACCTAAAACTAACTTCACCGCCGTATTTACAGGAAAATATATCCAACCTGAAACTAACTTCACTGCCGTATTTACAGGAAAATATATCCAACCTAAAACTAACTTCTACGCCGTATTTACAGGAAAATATATCCAACCTAAAACTAACTTCACCGCTGTATTTACAGGAAAATATATCCAAACTGAAACTAACTTCACCGCCGTATTTACAGGAAGATATATCCAACCTAAAACTAACTTCACCGCCGTATTTACAGGAAAATATATCCAACCTAAAACTAACTTCACCGCCGTATTTACAGGAAAATATATCCAACCTCAAACTGACTTCACCGCGGTATTTACAGGAAAATATATCCAACCTGAAACTAACTTCACCGCCGTATTTACAGGAAAATATATCAAACCTAAAACTAACTTCACCGCCGTATTTACAGGAAAATATATCCAACCTGAAACTAACTTCACCGCCGTATTTACAGGAAGATATATCCAACCTAAAACTAACTTCACCGCCGTATTTACAGGAAAATATATCCAACCTAAAACTTACTTCACCGCCGTATTTACAGGATAATATATCCAACCTGAAACTAACTTCACCGCCGTATTTACAGGAAAATATATCCAACCTGAAACTAACTTCACCGCCGTATTTACAGGAAAATATATCCAACCTAAAACTAACTTCACCGCCGTATTTACAGGAAAATATATCCAACCTAAAACTAACTTCACCGCCGTATTTACAGGAAAATATATCCAACCTGAAACTAACTTCACCGCCGTATTTACAGGAAAATATATCCAACCTGAAACTAACTTCACCGCCGTATTTACAGGAAAATATATCCAACCTAAAACTAACTTCACCGCCGTATTTACAGGAAAATATATCCAACCTAAAACTAACTTCACCGCCGTATTTACAGGAAAATATATCCAACCTGAAACTAACTTCACCGCCGTATTTACAGGAAAATATATCCAACCTAAAACTAACTTCACCGCCGTATTTACAGGATAATATATCCAACCTGAAACTAACTTCACCGCCGTATTTACAGGAAAATATATCCAACCTGAAACTAACTTCACCGCCGTATTAACAGGAAAATATGTCCAACCTAAAACTAACTTCACAGCCGTATTTACAGGAAAATATATCCAACCTGAAACTAACTTCACCGCCGTATTTACAGGAAAATATATCCAACCTAAAACTAACTTCACCACTGTATTTACAGGAAAATATATCCAACCTGAAACTAACTTCACCGCTGTATTTACAGGAAAATATATCCAACCTGAAACTAACTTCACCGCCGTATTTACAGGAAGATATATCCAACCTAAAACTAACTTCACCGCCGTATTTACAGGAAAATATATCCAACCTGAAACTAACTTCACCGCCGTATTAACAGGAAAATATATCCAACCTGAAACTAACTTCACCGCCGTATTTACCTTAAATACATTTGACGATTTACACACGTCTCTTTTTAGTCGCAGTGAAACGGTCGAACTGTCGAGTCCTGAGGTCTGAGTCCAGTCCTGAGGAGGATCTGGTTCAGGTTTTATGAAGACCCTCTTTGGTACAGGATTCAGGCTGATGTCCTCGTCCTGTCTGTAAACCCAGGATCCGTCTTCACTGATGTGTCCCACCATCAGTCCTTCAGTCACTTTAACACGTTATGATAAATAAACCACGCCCCCTTTCGCTTCATTGGTGGAAACCTTGGGTCACGTTAAGACGCCATATTTACAGAAGAAGGTTATTTATCAGACGGTCAAACATCGATGTCTCTCATTGGTCCAAATCTGTTTTTCTCAGCGGCCTTAAAAAATCTTTCTCACTTTTTCCCTCGACCTGAAATCCGCTCCGTCCCTCGGCTGAATCATTATCGCGGCGTTTCCACGTTTGACGTGGTTTACATCGAAACTCTGCTCATCATCTCCGTCAGCTCTGCTACACCTGTCTCCACACAGCAGACACCTGTAAGACAAACACGAAGACATCTGTCTCCTCCTGGTATCACTCACTCTACACCTAATGAGAACACCGCCGCCGCCGCTGCCGCCGTCGTCCAGCCGCCCTTTCGCCGTCCTGTGTCTCCTTACGGGACAGCGTGGGTGGAGGGTGTCTCCTGGTGAACTCTGAGTGTTTATTCATCATCTCCAGGATTTCACCCTCAGGCTGTCAGCAGCTGTGAAACGCTCTGCTGGCGGGAGGAATCTCACCGCCGTTGAGTCTTCTGTCACTGTCAGGCCCACGGCGGTCAACGACACTCCCAGGAAACATTCGCCGTGTGGAGACAGGAAGTACATTTCTGCCGTATTTTTATTAAAGTCGTTCTGGCCGTGAAAACTCAAATACATCTGCAGTACTCTGTTTCTTCAGCAGGGGGCGACTCCACTTCCCCGTCGTTTTATTGCCTTTATCAAAGATTTCTTTTGTCTTAAACTCAGATTTTCGTTCAGTCTGTTGGGGTCAGAGGTCAGAGGTCAGAGGGAGCCGGTTTGGGGGTCAGGGTCAGTCCTCGAACCCGTACGCCGTCCTGTAAAGTTAAACTCTCCGCCCTTCTGTGTCTTCTTCTTCTTCCAGGGCGGACGGAGGAGGACGATGGGGGCCGGCGGGCTCCACCCCCGAGCCCTGCTCTGGCTCCACCTGCTCGGTTTGATCGCTCTGGTATCGTCCCTCAACCCGGATGACCCCAACGTGTGCAGCCACTGGGAGAGGTCAGTCTTCTTCTCTGGTATTCACTCAGTCGACTAATGGACTCGCCGCCACAAATCAGCTCTGAGCGTTCGCCGATAATCAGAAGCAGAAAGGGAGAGGGTGAGGACGGGCCGGGGGCGTAAATCCACAGAGATGCTAATGTGACGGCGGTCTGAGTGGTCCCGGCGCTCAGTGAGTAAAAGCACAATGTCATTTCTGAGGAGAGCGAGGCCGAGTGCAGGTGCTCCGATCAATAATCTCTCCGAGTAATCAGGAGGAGTCGTCGTGGAAATGGATATTACCGCCGACCGCTGACGAAAACTGTTTCCTGTAAACGTTCGACTCACAGGAGGAGAGAGCAGAACCTGAAGACAGGGACAAGACCGAGTCCTGAAACCAAGTCCTGAAACCGAGTCCTGAAACCGAGTCCTGAAACTGAGTCCTGAAACCAGAGCGGACATGTTGGCAGCAGCTCTCCTCCAGTGAGAAACCAACACTCCGAATTATCGCCTTATTCCGATAAAGACCGGACAACTGAAGGTCATGTAAACACTTTAGTCCGACTATAATCAGAGTTTAAGAACTTTGATTAAGACACCCAGATAATGTGATTAGAATTCGATTTTCTCTACCATGTAACCAGCGTAGTCGGAGTATGAAGCCACGCCCCCGTAACCCTGGAAACCCCAGAGTAGAGGAGTAGCGTTGGTCTCCTCTTTAGAAAAAGTAGCGCGTCCATCATGTCGGACAAAAACAACGCTGTACGATGCTCCATCTTCTTGTTTCTCCAAAATGCCCAGCAGCAGTTGTAGACACTTCTGACGTCTGACACCGACCTGCTGTTGTTGTTGACGGTTGGATGGGGTCGGAAACAGCGCAGCTGAAAAGACCCATATCGCCCCCTAGTGTTGGGGAGGAGGACACGTTCACGTCAATAATTCAGTTTTCTCAGCTGCATGTAAACGAGGACGAGGAGAGAAGTCTGATTCGGCTGTGTGTGTGTATCTGTGTGTGTGTGAGTGTCTGTGTGTGTGTCTGTGTATGTGTGTGTGTGTTATTATTATAATATTTATGTTGCTTTACAAACATCTGGAGTTTTCACCAAAGAGCTTCAGAAAATCCTGAACTGAGACGTTTTTGTTTTTGAAGTGAATCTTTCAAAAGTGTTTTCATCCTCTCATCTGCTCTTCTTCATCCTCTCATCTGCTCTTCTTCATCCTCTCATCTGCTCTTCTTCATCCTCTCACCTGCTCTTCTTCATCCTCTCACCTGCTCTTCTTCATCCTCTCACCTGCTCTTCTTCATCCTCTCATCTGCTCTTCTTCATCCTCTCACCTGCTCTTCTTCATCCTCTCACCTGCTCTTCTTCATCCTCTCACCTGCTCTTCTTCATCCTCTCACCTGCTCTTCTTCAT